AGCACCAAATGGCCTCAGAGTGGCACCAAGTTCTGTCCATTCATTCATTTTTTCGACTCAGTAACACACAAGTTATACAATAACTTCAAGAAACAGTTACATCCCATAAATTTTGGCTGCGGGGTAATATTCAATTCACTTGTGAGAATAAACAAACATACTTCCTCCTCTTTCCTTGTCCTAATATGCTTAAGACATGACTTGTGTAGAAGAGAATAAGGTTAGAAATCTTCAAATAAACACAGGAAGTTTGTAGAGAACGACGGACTGTTGAATATAAGAAACAGGCCTTTTTTTTCCAGCCCTCTAGTTAATTTTAAGATGTTATTGACAGGATAAAATTGTTTGGATAAAATAAGCAAAATGAACGGTTCTCAAGAAGCCCCATTCAAAACCAAAACGCAATATAATGGAAATATAAATTCCAGAGGGGGAGCAGTAACTATCAAAGAGAGCTCTTAAAAGTTTGAAAGAGACCTATCAATTCTCCCTCAGGGACCACATACTAACCAAATTCTGAATAATCTGGCATTGCTTTATGAAATTGTGCAGTAGCACCAACAAACTAGTCAGTACCTGTGACATAAATGTTGTTTGCATGGGAAGGAATCAAGTAAGCAACTGCGCATCTACAGCTATATGCAGGAGAATCCCCAGAAGTGGAGGAAGAACTGCTTTAATAAAGGAGCTAAAGAAAACCAGCAAGAATAAATTATGGCAACATACATAGCTGTTTATTTTAAACTAACTAAAAATAAACTTATTTTCCTAAGTTTTATTATTATCATCATTAGCAAGGAGAACTAGAAGAAGTGTGTTTCACCTGAACCAGAAGATATCACCAAAAATCCCCCCGGAAGTACTTAGATGTCAAAATTCAAGCTAAAATGCCCCACAAACTAACACCACAACTCTACCTTCTCTCCCATCTCACCACAAGCAGCAGCAAGGGATGCTGCTTCCCCATGGGCCTAACCCACGCAATCGAAACAGATGAAAATAGGTATTCAGGAGAAAAAGTTCAGAGGATCTGCCTTCAAAACAAAAAAAAAACAAACAACCAAAGCCTCCAAAGAGAGGTTGAAGCGATACAGGCAGCCCTGACTGCACATTTAAGTAGCAGCTTTGGGGCTTTTTCTTCCTCTTTTATAAGCTAACATGCTTCTAGCATTCCCTGTGGTTCTGAGGAATATAATTGCATGCTATTACTTAAGAACTATGTGATTACCGTGCCACTGTCTTCTGCGTAACCCAGCCTGTAATAAAAGTGATAAGAATAGCATTTATTATTTTTGAAATGGTTCTTGCAACGCATCCACGCTGATGTGGTTGAAAACATCTGACTAAATTCCCGATACTTTGCATAGAGGATTTATTCTCTTCTAACAGTACTGCGCACCACACAAACTCCCTTCTGTGTGCAAGATACTGCCTCAAAGTTCAGCAGACTGGGTCACTCGGCTCTGGAGCAAACCTTTCAAAGACAACAAGGAAGAAATGTTTAAGTGCTGGAAAGCTGCATGGAGGCTCGTAGGATCGTGTCTCTGTAAGAGAGATGTAGTCATTGCAAAGAAAAGTCACAAAAGAAAAGCCATTCCAAGGAATTGCATAAATAGAAGTGACAAGTACAGCTATGCCTCCGCTGTTGCTATAGAGCATAACTGAAACGAGAACTAGACAAGTCAAGTAATTCGCTCCCAGCTATGAAAGTTACATCCCTCCTGCAAATTTATCGATTGCTCTATGAAATCTGACTTCCAACTTCGGGGAAAAAAGTGCATGAATAGAGAATTTCAAGTTTAACTCCATCTTTCTCAGACCCTTTTAAAGAACTCAGAACTTTTGCAGAAAACAAGCTTGATAAAATTTTACTTTAGAAGTCTGCATCCCATCCTTTTCTCAATCTAATTCTTTATCTAAGGCTCTTTAAAACATTGTCAAGATTCAGATATGGTCTCATTTTTTTGGAAATCCCCTGCTCCGCAAATCTCTCAACTCAATCCCCCACGCTGGTCTTCCCTGAATCAAGGATTGCCTGTATTTTTCTGTGAGATTAGCCCTCTTTAGCAAAAAAAAAGCTTTAACAGAAAAAGGCTACTCCTGAACCAAACATCAAAAAGTTTCAAGGTTTCAGAGATATATCAGCACATCAAATCCAAGAGTAAAAGTCACTCGCTGCCAGGACACATGCCAAGTAGCACACAAAAGCACTGTTTTTATATCATGCACATTTATGGAGAGGAAGCCAGAGGGAAAATTCCCATCAAGAGTTTGCCCTGAGAGTTTCGAAAAGCTGGGCTCAGGCCAAGCGCCTCTTCTGTTTATATATTCTACTTACGCAACGTAACAAGTGAAAAGGAGCACCATTTTTTTTTCCAGAAACATATCAAGGTAGGGCTTCACTCACAAGGCAAACGATTCCCATTAATCAGCCGCAACATGATCTTACAAACACAATTATCAAGTAGCTATAGATTAGCACGTGGTTTTCCTAAGTGGGGAGAATGAATAAAGGACATTTGTCAGAGAACCAAGGCATGGGCTGCTCCATGCTGCCATTTCTACCAAAGAGAGGAAGAAAAATCCACTCTACATGTATTTTATACTGGGCAGCTTTTGTGAAAACTCTGACAAAGGCTGTTTTTTTTCTACAGAACGTGAAACTTAATACTAAATATGTAACAGGCACGTGCCACCTATACAAACACCACACAGCTCCTGCAGAACATACTTACACGACATACAAACATATTCATTGCCAAAGGATTCATTTTCTGTGCATAACTTTGCTTACCAACGGCCTGGATCAGTATTAGCTCAAATCAAACATGCCTAAATGTCTGGGTTTCCCATATCATGGCATGTCTTCATTAGACCTCCGTTTTAAAAAGAACAGAGATAAAACATCTCGCTTCGGGAGACAAGCTGCAAGTCATTCTTTTAGCTGCATACAGCGCTATTACCACATCTTATCCCTTTCACTGCACATCTGTCACGGAGTTAATCGTTAGCGTGGCAAATCCTGCTACCGATTAGCGAGTTTCATTTATCAGGTTTCCTATTTCTCTTTTGTTGATAAGGCTGTTCTCACAGAGCACTGTGAAATCCATTTGGCAAGAACAAGCGACGGAGCCAGCGAACAATATGAAGTCCACTACACACCAGGGAGGTTACTCTGCTCCTGACAGCTGGGCTGGATGCAAGTATGCAGTAAGCACCTGCGTCTCTGCGGACAGAAAAGCAGAAATATCCTCGTGCAGAAGTAGGTGCATGTTATCACATGCCTGCACGCAGGTGCAGCACCTGCTGCTCTGCGGGACAAGAAGAACAAGCGACTACTTGCCTGCTCCTCTGCTGCTACAACACAACCGTCTTCAGCAGGCAACTGGGGACACAAAAGTGCACGTGGAGGCAGTAAAGACCTTAAAAATACACCAGTCTTCCTAGTGACACTATGTAAAGAAGGAATTGGGTTCCACTCCCCTGCACAGACAGGGTGGAAGAACAGATGGGACACTTCTTTGAGGGGAATGCTCCTTCAGGTGAGAAACAAGCGTGCCTTTTTCCATGCTGGAAAGAGACAGTGAGGGCAAGGTGAATGCAGACTGGATGTGCTTCCCCTCACCTCTCCTACCCGCAGGGCTGTGAGGCCTGTCCCCTCTGCAGACCTCGGGAGCGATGGTTTTCTCTGCCTGCAGATGTCCAGCACGTGTGAAGACAAGGATTTCTCACCATCCTTGAGACAGCATCGCATACAGAGGTGGAAATATGGCTGCAGGAACGTTAGGATACAGACACTGGAGTCGACCTGTGACTTTGTGAAAGGCACCGTGCTCCCTGGGGGTAGCTGCAGAGCAAAAGCGTTCCTGCAGACACCTCTCCACCTGCAGCACGTAAAATCAGTGACATGAGTGTGTCCTAACGTGGTTACACACGGGCTTAATCCCCTCCATGGCAGGCAGGTCCACCTACACGCAGGGCAAAGGAGCAAGCCTGTATCTCGCATGTAACCTGCACACACGTTCCTTGTGCAACGTATCCACTGGTGGCCTCAGCACAGGCACGGAGGAGCTGCCCTCGCCCCAGAGAGGAGGCTGAGGAGAGGTGGGAGGCAGAAGAGGCGCAGAGGAGCCGCCAGCTCTGCCTTACAAAGGCGGGGTGGGCGTGAGGGGGGGGCGGCTGCAGCCCTCCAGCCAGATGGGAGAGCAACCACCTACCTCAAGCACCAAGCTGGGAGAAAGCTAAATAATAATAATAAAAAAACAAACAGACGGAGCACACTAATAAAAAAAACAGACAAACAGTCGGAGTGGGACAGTGGGGACCCGCCTCAGCTTCCCCAGGGGGGCAGCTGAGAGGGGGGTAAATCCTCGACGATTTTAATTACTCCCCCTCACCTTAAAGGGTCCTCCACCTCAGAGGGGTCCCCCCCACCTCATACAGGGTCCCCTCCCATCATACAGAGCACCCCATCTCAGAGGGGTCCCCCCACCTCATATAGGGTCCCCCCATGTCAGAGGGGTCCCTTCACCTCATATAGGCTCCCCCCATGTCAGAGGGGTCCCCTCACATCGGAGGGGTCCCCTCTCCTCATACAGGGCCCCCCTCACCTCATATGGGGTCCCTCCATGGCAGAGGGGTCCCCTTACCTCCTATAGGGTCCCCCCATGGCAGAGGGGTCCCCTCGCTTCATATAGGGTCCCCCATCTTGGAGGGGTCCCCTCACCTCATACAGGGTCCCCCCCTGTCAGAGGGGTCCCCTCACCTCATATAGGGTCCCCTCACCTCATATAGGGTCCCCTCTTGTCAGAGGGGTCCCCTCACCTTATATAGGGTCCCCCCCTGTCAGAGGGGTCCCCTCACTTCATACAGGGTCCCCCCACCTCACATAGGGTCCCCCACCTCGGTGGGTCCCCTCACCTCACGTAGGCTCGTCGCAGGTGCCCCCCTCCCCACGTAGGGCCCCCCTTCGCCCCCAGCCCCCCAGAGCCCGGCCTCACCTGCCCGCACCGTGTCGCTGAGGTCGTGGCTGAGCGCGGCGGCGCTGCGGGGGAACTCCTTCAGCTTCCTGCCGCTCAGGCTCAGCCCCCCGCGGTGCGCAGCCTCCTCCAGCGCCCGCTCCAGGCCGCGGCTCAGCGGCGCCTGCAGGGCCAGCGACACCCCCCCGGCCCCGCCACCGCCGCCACCACCTCCACAACCGCCACAACCGCCACCGATGCCGCCCCCAACCGCCAAGGCGGCGGCGGGGAAGGGCTGCGGCTCGCCTCCCAGCGTCGCCATCTTCCCCCCGGCCGCTGGGGGTAGCCGAGGGGCCGCCCTGAGCTCCGTGCGGGTCCCTCCCTCCCTCACGGCCCTTCCTCCTCCTCCTCCTCCTCCTCCGCCCGCTCGCAGCGCTCCCGGCAGCGCGGGCGGGAGGCGGAGGAGCAGGGGCGAGGTAGAGGCGCAGTGCGCATGCTCCGGCTCCCCTCAGGGAGCGGGGCGGGGCGCGGCGGCGCCTCCTGGCGGCGGGGACCCCGCCCTGCAGCGGGCGGCAAGGGGGGGTGTTTGGGGGTGGAAAAGGGGAAAAGAGGGAAAGAGGAGACGTTTTTTTCTCAGAAAGAGCAGTCAGGCGCTGGGACGGGAGTGAGAATAATATCAATAACATACTGATGTTTTAATTGTTGCGGAGCAGTGCTCACAGCAAGCCAAAGACTTTCCAGCTTCTCACCGTGTCCTCCCAGAGGGCAGGCTGGGGGTGCAACAGGAGCCGTGAGGGGACAGAACCGGGGCAACTGACCCAAAATGACCAAAGGGATGTCCCATGCCATGGGGCATCATGCTGAACAGTTAATATGGGGTGGCTGGCTGGGGTGGGCAACTACTACTCAGGAACAGGCTGGACATCGGTCAGTGGGTGGTGAGCAATTGCATTGTGCATCACTTGTTTTGTACACATTCTTCGTAGCAGTACTACTGTCATTATTTTCCTTTATTCTGTAATAATAATAAACTAATAAACTGTCTTTATCTCAACCCACAAGCTTTCACTGTTTTTTCCCCAGTTCTCACCCCCATCCCACTGAGGGAGGCAGGATAGTGAGCTAACAGCTGTGCGGTGCTTAGCTGCCGGCCGCGTTAAACCACAGCACCCTTTTAAAAGGAAGCCCCCCACCTGCTCATCCCCTTCTGCTGGCATCCATCGCAGCTAACAGCATCCCCTCTCTAACTGCACCAGCTCTGCAGCAGCTTGTAGTGGAGTGGGGTGAAACTACGGTGCAGGCACTGAGGCAAGCATGCATATGCTGAGGCAGAGCACGTTTCATTTGAAAATTACAAGCTGCAGCGGCTCTTGCCGCCGGACTCCACAGGCCCTGGGGAGCACCTGCCCTGCAGAAGGAGTTTCTGAAGCCTGCTGCTGCTGCAGGCGCTGCTTCACACCTGTGCATGGCTCTGGAGCCCGGCTTGCCCCAGAGAGACCCTTCGAGGGGTGATTTGGAGTGACAAACCAAAGCGTGAGGCCTCATGCTTCCCCGCCACTCAGAGAGCTCAAAGCTAAAAAGGGACCCATATATCACCACGTGTGACCTGTACTTTACAGGCCATTACGCTTCGCTCCGTCCCCTTGTGCTGTGATCGATGGCTGATGTTAAATTAAAGCTTCCCAGGCTCCAGGAAGTTCAACACCAAGTGCTACAGGGCAAAGGAAGGCAGAATTGCCACAAGGAAACACCTTTAGAAAAACAATAACAAAACAAAACAAAACAACAACAACAAAACAAAAACAAAACAAACAAACAAAAAAAAAACAGGAGAGAGCTCTGCAAGTTTAGCTGCCACAACAAGAAACTTAAAAGAGAGAAGGGTACTAGAGATAGACTGAATAGCATCAAAATATCCGTAAAAAGCTTCTTCTTTACAGCTGAGAAGTGTAAGGAAAGGTCTGTAAGGTTAGGTGGATAAGAAGGGGATTATTTTACTGGAAGTGCTTTTAAACTGCGCACAAAATATAGGCCCCAAGCTAAACTCAAATCCAAACTGTCCTTACATCTGTGATTGCTGGTTCTGCAGGTGTGATGCAGGGATGCTGGGTTTCTGCATGACACATTCAGTCTCCTACCAGTTCAAGAAAATCTTGGGTGCACCAGAGAACAATTCGTGACACCGTTCCTTAGAACAGCCCCAAGCTGAAGAGATCTTCCCCAAGGAACACAACAGCCACTGCTGTCACAGGTATGTCCGGATATCACGTTACTTCTGGCAAAGCTTGGTGGTGGCTGATTAAGATAATGTTCCCTACACATTTCCACTAGTCACAGCATGTTCGGGATTTAAAAAGCTTCATTTGTTTTCCTGTTGGAAAGCATAAGGAAACAGCCGAATAGCTCCATCTTCTCAGCGATTTACAGAAAAGTGTTGATGAAAAATAGTGTGAGTTGAGTAAGCTGTGAATAAGAGCAACTGCTTGGCTTCCCCTGTAATAGATTTTCTTAATGTAATATTTTAATAGAATAAGTACTATATTCTTTTACACATAGAGAAGGCTGAAGTGTTGTAGGTTTTATGACACAGCAAATGGCCTTGCACAAGATTTCCTATGTATGAAATCCCCCAACAACATGAAACTTAATATTGTGACTAGTACTATGGAGCTAAGCATGCAGACAGTGTATCTGCAGAAATCATCTTTCAGCATCAGCTCTTTACAGTCAGATAACAGGCCTGTCTTTCTGCGAGGTTTGGTAAGCTCAGTCACTGGTGGGATACCACACTCCTTCCTCCCCCACTCCTGATATGACAAAGTGACTTCTGGTGCCAATTTTGCAATAAACAACGTGTTTTTTGCTCTGCATTGTCTTCATGCTGTCCTGCTAATTCAGGGTTCTCCCTTAAAACACCCAACATGGGGACAGGCAGGATTTAGTGGCACACAGGGCTGTCCTGCTGCACGGTCTGGCAGGGTTTAAGATCCAGGTTCTCCCTTGTAGCAATGTAAGGGCACACAGCTGTGATGGGGCAGCAAGTTTGTTTTAAAATCCTTTTTACCAGAGTTGCTGAGGAGAGGTGCAGGTATGACCTGTGCTGTCAGAGCTTGGAAGGAAAAGTTTGCAGGCTGACAGGATTAAAGATGGTCAAAAAGGTGATCAGGGGACTGAGGCACCTCTCCTACAAAGACAAGCTGAGGGAGTTGAGGTTGCTCAGCCTGGAGAAGAGAAGGCTCTGGGGAGACCTTACAGCAGCCTTCCAGTGCCTAAAGGCAGGCCTACAGGAAAGCTGGGGAAGGACTCTTTGTCAGGGGGTGTAGGGATAGGACAAGGGGGGAATGGCTTTAAACTAAAAGAGGGGAAGATTTAGATTAGATATTTGGAAGAAATTCTTCCCTCAGAGGGTGGTGAGGCCCTGGCACAGGTTGCCCAGAGAAGCTGTGGCTGCCCCATCCCTGGAGGTGTTCAAGGCCAGGCTGGATGGGGCCTTGGCCAGCCTGATGTAGTGGGTGGCATCCCTGCCTATGGCAGGGGTGTTGGAACTGGGTGATCTTTGAGGTACCTTCCAACCCAAACCATTCTGTAATTCTGTGATTATCAGGGAAAACAATATAGCACCGAAGCTGTATCATCTTCACTCTCTGTGCCTGAGCGCTGTGCCAGATCTCAGTCTGTTCCTATAGATACAAAGGATCAGAAATTGGAAACGCTTCAGAAAAAGAAAAGATCAGTCGCAGCAGCACCGATTTCCTGTTCTCATGCAGATGTCTATGTACAAGGTCACACTCTGCACATTGACTTCGCTTGGATCACAACGTGGGCACAGCCTGACGCAGCAGTGAAGCTGCAGGGATGGCAAGCTGCCGCTGTAGGCAGCCCCTCCATCCCTTGCCCCCAGCTATGTGGTCTTGCTGTTTCCCATATGACAGTGTTTGTGCTTGTCTGAGCCTTCCATGAGCCAGCCAGGAGACTGAGAGCAGCTTAAAAATTACCTCTAGAAGAAAAAGAAATCAACGGGTGCTTTTCAGCAAACACAAGCAAATGTCACAGAAGAAGGGAAGACTGCAGAAGAAAGACTTCATGTATGTAGCAGAAGAAGATGACTATGGAGGTAACCAACCTGCTATTCGGGTCACACATAGTGGCTGTGACAGGAAAAATCCTGTCAGAGATGAGCAGAAAGTACCACAGCTGAGGAAGGCCATGAGCCGTAGGGACTCAGAGTAAATTTCTCCTGTCCAGGACTCTAAATTGACAGAAAGGAACAACAGGGCCCACATGGCTTGTTAGGATGAGAGGTGGGCAAAGGCTTATGTGCTGGGATCTGGTGTCTCATGAGGTAGTGTGTGTCAGTAACTTCATGTACAGACATCTACCTCACACTCCATGTGCTCTAATACGCTGCTGTAGGGGCCTCAGCATGGTGTAGCTCCTACATTGCTTTCTTCACGTGAACCTCCCAGGTGGACAGGCTGTCCTGTGCAGAGGCAGAAGCGACACGCAAACATCACAAGACAAGCAGAGCTGGCATCACTCCACTTGCAAGGTTACCTTGGTTTCGTGTGCGACACAGAAGTCACAGCTAAGAAAAGCCCCATTATACGTCCTTGATAGCATGATTGTAATGGCACCGGGACAAAGAAAATGATGAGCTGGATCCCAAGAGAAGAAACGTGCAGGCTGAAGCTTCAAGTGGTGCAGATAAAAATCGCTCCTTTCAACTAAAGCACAAACTCCTGGTCCTGCCTACAGTACGCCTAAGGCAAGTGGTTCATAACAGACACACCAGCGAGGTGAACAGCCAACCCAGAGCAGACAATGAATTGCTGCTGCATTGCAGGAAAGGGGTAGTATGAGGAGATGTTTCATATAAATCCCTCTCTATAGCACCTGCGTCAAATTGCTCAGAAAACAGGGGGAGAGAACAATAAATCAATAAGAGGCAGGAGATAAGGTCAGTGGTAGCGATGCTGCTATACAGACATGGATGCACCAGGACAGAAACTGGGAGAGATCATGATCAAATGCTCAGCTCTCAGCTAAGAGGCCATGAAAACAGACCTAAGGGTAAAATAAAACCAGAATGAATCTGTCTTGGTATCCCTGAAACACTTGTCCTGACTAAACATTTAAAGACAACACAATAACATGCCCACACCTGAAATATTAATTTAGTTCAAAGACTATTAGCAGTTGTAAACTTGCAGAGTTTCTTCCAAGTATCCCAGATGACCTTGAAACATGCAGTATGATAGAGGTAACCGTGTCCATGCTTACCTTGAATCCACTGCTGAAACACAACTTCAGCAGAGATTCGGTGGAGATTCATGGGACTGTAACCAGGGTGGGAGCCTTGCTCTCAAAATGGGCAGAGACAGTAGCTTATTGTACCACGATCAATAAAAGAAAGACATGCCTAAGCTGGGAAAGGAGCAGCTTGCAGGAGTTCACCTTCACAAAAACATGAAAGAG